CTCTAGATACAAACTCTGTATTAGAGCCAAGTTTTGCTGAAGTGGAAACATTTTTTTTGCATATTTCCTTTAGAAATCTGGGTTTATGTCCAGCTAAGGTGTTGGAATTATGTCAGTCCAGACATAAAACATCAGATTGTATTCGTGTAGAGGATATCTTGAAAAGACATTTAGGCATATTCAATTACGTCTTTTAATAACGTCTTTCCTGTTGATAAGCAACAGCCTGACATATGCCAATTTCAATTCAAACAATAGAATGATCACATTCTTGGAATTTGTTGCCAAAATCTACAACAACAAATAAATAATAACGCTTAAAATGAAAGCCTTGTTTCTTAATTTACATTTTTGGCCAGTTTAGAAAAGATAAAGGAATCTCCAGTGGTTGATGCTCAAAGCATCTACTGTTGCCATGATAATACATTTCAAATACAATATGTGAATCCCAACTGTTTGGGGCAGATGTGGTGTATGACTCAACAGTGAATTGTAAAAAACTGAAAAATTTCACTGAAAATCTGTTAGATAACTAGAGTAAGCTATGAAAAGGATAAATTAAAATAAATACTGATAACAATATAATTATCAAACCAAGCTGCCAATATACTAGAGTAATTTCCTGTAAACATGTTATCTATTTTTAAAACTAATTTGACAATTTATTTATTCATTGCTATTATTTTGGACCATTTCTGCCTTTATTGACAGGACAGAGAGACAGGAAATATTGGGAGCAGAGAGTAGGGGTTTACATGCAGAAAAGTCAGACTCAATCCGAGGGGACTCAGTCTGACTTTGCTGCATGTCAACCCCTGTGAGGACTGAAGCCTCCACGCATTGTTTGGGCGCAGGCTCTATCCCCTGAGCTAAACTGGGGCCTTTACACTAAAATGAACCAAATTTTGAGGAAATGTGATACATTTAGATATCATCAGCAAGTTGCTCAACAATTAGAGCAGGACCGCTTTATTGTTAGGCCAAAAGGTATTGGCCTATTAAAAATATACAACACTAAATAATCACAAGTTGCTGTTCAGTCATACTTTCTCTGTCTAATTTAAAAAACTAGTATGAAACCTTCTTTGTTTGTACATAATTAATCATGACATTGTCAGTAATGATATGCCTTTTCATTAATCAGTCTTCAGAGAATAAATAATTGCTACATAAGACTTTAACAAAAACTGGAGCCCTGCCTGGTGCAAACCCGAGCCAACACTCCATCCTTGCTGTTGTTGAGGGAATAAAAAAGCCCTGGCATTTTGTTTCCTGGTTTCTAAGCGTTCAGCTTTGTTTTTCAGATACCTTAAATTGTTTGGCAAGCTTATTTAACATTCCTTGGCTGAAATAAGCGTGTGCCAATAACTTTTATGGTTATCATAGTTGGAAAAATAATGACAGCATGTGATAACACAGAAAATGTCACAGTCAGTTTATGGATTATTTGCTTAAAAATGTAAAAATAAATCAATGAATTCTTGCTTGAGGAGATAAGATAATACATTTATTAGAGTGGAGGAGGATACCGTTTCCTCAGCAGATTTGTTTTCTATGGACAGCTAAACCTTGTTTACATATATTATTCCCGCTCTCCTTTCCCTTGCTTGAAAAATGCTGGTTTATTTTTCTTGATTATGAGTCAGTTACCCGCTCAGGAAGAGTGAGTGAGTTTGCCTACAGGGCATTTATACCAATGAGAAGGGCATGAATCTAAAGCTCAAAACTAGGACTCAATCTTCTAATAAAACACTGTGACGCTGTGATTTCTTTTCTAAAAACAACAGTTTCAGTTAGGACTGAAGCAGCGTTGATGATCTCAAATGTTATAAAAAGGATCGATCTGCCTTTACCTTTTACTTTATAAATGAGCAGTGACCTACATTGGTGTGTCCGTAAAGGCACTACCATCCGTCTGCTTTTCATTTGGTATCTGCCTGCACAGTGGAATGTAGTGGGGATCATCACTCAGACCTGTGTAAATGTCTTGTCTGTCTCCTCACAGCTCTCCTCCAGACTCTCCTGGTGCAACTTTTACAAAAGAAAGTTGCACAGAGATTGCCACAGGGCACAACAACAGCCTGAAATTCGAATGGTTGTCTCTGCTTCTTGCCGTAGGGGTGAGGCGACTATCAATGCAGATACAATACAATTTCACTCCTGAAAGGCTCTCTATGAAAAGGGCCAGATAGTTTACCGCACACAGTTCCTCTGGCTTTGTGCCTTTCTCATGGTAATTGCTGGGAGCGGAGAACAGAGTGCAGTGCCAAACACCCACTGCATGTTGAACTGTGCAGAATTGTAATGCCTGTCTATTCAGGAAAGTTCAAAGGCCAGATTCATAGATTTTGAATAAATAATACAATATTAAGGTCCACAATGAGTTTGCTGAACATAGTTTAAATGCATTGACCTGAAGAATATTCGAAACAGTATTGTGTATTGTGTTGTTTAATCAGTACTCTTGGGTGTTAAGTATGCACTCTTAACTTAGACAGAAAAAAATGTAACATTCCTGCAGGGACTCAAAGTGTATCCATGGTGCTCTACAGCCTCAAAAGCTAATTGAGACCTAAGACCTACCTCTATATAATATAGGGTTGTTAGAACACAGGGAACCTTAGGCTTGCCCTTTTCTGTTATACCTAAGTAAATATGTTGTATGCCAGGCTTGTCGATGCATAAATAAAAGCAACATTTGTAGACAGCTAAGGTGGTGTAAACTAGTGACACTCGGACACCTCACTGTGTGAAAGGCGTGGTGTTTATTACCATTCTAAAGAGCAAGAAACAAAGACACCTTCTCCATTTAGCCACGTCCTGCCCTGTGATTATCTTAAGTATTAGGCTGAATAAAAGGGAACACACATGACATCACGGTGGGCGGAGTCACTGCACTTTGAGCCAGCGAGTGGCATAAAGCACGTACTGGTGTGTTAGAAATCAATGAGAAGTAAGCAGTAAACTGCTTTAAATTAGCCGTGGTTTAGGAAGTTAGGGTATGAAGACGTTCTCTTTGTAGGCGATATAGATCATCAGCTGATTTGTGACATTACGTTAATAAAGACGCAGAAGACGAAGTGATCAACCCTCCGTAGCGTCTTCTGAGGTAGTAAGAGAGGCGAGACGGTGTTGAGCCGAGCCAGTGGAAGTGCACAGCGCTGTGTGTGCGTGCAAGTCTGACTAGGCGTGTATGTGGAGCTCCTGCTGAGCCATGCTTCAGCAATGCCGAAACACAATGTGAATGCACAGACAGGGACACTAATATCACGCCATAGCGGAATCAATATGAATGTGCAAAGATCTGATATGGCTGAGCTTAGTTACGGTGCATAATTAAGCAGGGCTATGGACAAACCGGAAATGTGTTGACAAGCAGACGGGCTGTGTTGTGAGATGCCAAAGACCCATGTTGATTGACAAGGTATACAGTCATATTACCAGATTTTGCACAAATATGACTCTTCTCTACAGCCCGTTGTTGAGCCTGAGACATAACTTGTGTGAGATGACTTTCTGCACCCGGTAAAGCTGCTAAACATGAGACAACGATGACACCGATACCAATACAGCCTAACATTACATTGCAATCTGTTATGAATAATATATGCAGGGACTCAGTCACGCTCTCTTTTTCTCTTCCGGCTTCATCCGTCACCGTTTTCTTCCATCTCTAAGCCTCAGCTTAGCTCTCTAGCTATATGAACTTCTTGTGAGAGAACCATAGCCTGCTGCCAAACTTCTACAGCGCTGTAAGCAACAATCGATCTGTGGACATGGGGAGAGACGCTATTCTGCCTGTTGAAAGTTGTTGTACTAGATCGCCTTTGACATTTTAAGATGGAAAAGTTCAGTACTGTTGCTTTAAACTGATCTAAAACACAAACATTAACCATTATAAACACCAGTCGTAGAAAATGAATCAGTAAGCATTTCAATAGCTGTTGTATTAGTCTAAGTCATTCCCTAACACAAATGATGCACCAATTAATGTTAAGGCAAATCATGAAACTATCCTATAGTTTGTTATGGTGCTGTGAAAACAACAGAAACATGTTTTTTTAACATATATTGAATAACTTATAAAACAAGTGCAGTCAAAATTCATCTCACAATCTAAAATTCACCTATAACATTGAAGGATCGTTTTAGGATTCAGTAGGATTTGCTCCTTGTCTTTGTCATTCAGTAGATTAATGTTGAGTCTTTGGGTTTGGACTGTTCTGCAGTGTGGGGGGGGGGGGAGGAAATCTCAAGACATATTTTGGGCTCCTGGAAAAATGTAAATGTATTTTTTTTCACATCATTTTGACAATTCAGAGTAATGCCTTCAGAGTAAGCAATAACGCATGCACCCTCCCTGAAACATTATCCTCCAACTGTTGTATTAGACTCCACACGTTTTTTTTTTGTTTGTTTTTTAGCTATGAGTAGTCTACCAAATGAATAGCAACTGAGCCTCTTCCCAGAGGTGAGCAGCTCATTTGCAGACGAAAACTCTCGGATCTTTACAACACGTAAACAAAACCTCGGTCCGTGTTTTAGGAAGCATGGTTGTCCCCACCTCGCTACAATCAGGAGACAGACACTGCTGGCACTGATTTTGCTTTCCTCCCGACCGCGCTTTAGGAAGAACAATAACACGGCCAGCTGATATAGATTTAGACCCTGCCATGGAAACGTGAAACAAACAAAAAAAGCATGCTGTGTAGTAGGTAACTTTGCTGGGCCACATCCAGCGCAGAGGTGCAGGTGCCTAACTTGCTGGCGGTGTGTTTTTTCCAGCCACACAACAGCAGCAGCCTCAGCGGGAACATGACCGCCTTTAATGTGGTTGTTAAGGACAGGAGGTCAGGGTTTTCTAACAAGAACCTCCGCAATGTTAAAACACAACGAATGGGCTACCATTACTAATGTCGTTACTCGCAGTTATTTCAATAGCAAGAGACGGGGAAATTAGCTAAACTTTGTCAAAAAAAAAAACAAAAAAAAAAACTTACTGTGATCGTAACTTCGTGCTTTTTCAATCGATACTTGAGGCTCTTCATCTTGTTAAATGTTGGTCTCTGGTTTTAAAAGTTTCCTTTGGTGATTAAAATCATAAATAGTATATAAAAAAAAAAACTTTCCAGAAAGTTCGACGTAGTAAGTTTTCATCTATCCCCTTTTTTTTTTCCTCCCAGAGCGAGTTTCACCTGACGCCTAACCGCAAAACACTGCTCGCATTTTGATTGACACTTGTAGAAGCCAGTCAAACCGAAGACTTCGCGGCCTGTTCAATTTTGATCCAATCGGCAACGTTTGAGGGCGGGACTTCCTTGTCCAGGCGGTCGCGGGGAGAAGTTGGAGACATGCTGGGACAGGGAAGGAAAAACCTGGCGTGACGTCAGGCTTAGGCTACCTGAAGACCGAGAACACCTGGATTCACTTCCTACAAGTCTGTGAACAAAGTGCTACACATCTCTCTATCCCAAGTGTTTAATGTAAAAACGCCTTATTTTGGCTTCTGTAATAACCTGTCATTTAGCCTTCACTAAATTATCTTAAAAAGCTAAACTGTTGGTTGGTTTTCTTTCTGACATGCGTCACGGAACAAGTTCCCTGTACCGTGGACTTCACGTGTTGACATGGCATGATATGACATGAGGTAGCCTAACTTAGTCCTGTTATTTACATGTTAGCTTTGTGAATCCTTTAATTAGAGTTCCTCACTGTCTTGTCCCTTTTAACAGTTTCAGTGTCGCTGCCTTTACACATTATTGTAATTCATGAATATATGGGATCGTACAGCTTGAATGCCAGAAGAATAATCAACACACAGCTACATTTCCATGTTATATTGCTCTACTTTGTACTCTTTTGACAATCACATGTCCCTCATTAACAGTGTGTAGTGAACTTAGTGATGTACCTGCAGAAATGATTCTATTAACATACAATCCTGATCCAAATCCAAAAGCCACCAATAACTGTTATTATTCTAATTATCAGGTTTACATTAAAAAGAAAAGCTTGTGCATTTATTTAAGAAATTATTCAGCATGTATGGCTATATGTGAATGATTCATAAGGGAGCACTGACATTAATTTTCTACATTCATGAATTTTACATTCTTGATATTTAACAGCCTGTTTTTACGCAGAGCCAATACTACTTTATTCAGAGGGAAGCAGATGATAAGCTCTCCTTACTGTCTATATCCAATACCTTTAATATGCAGTCATATTCATCAGCATCTAAATATAAAAAACTGTTGGTTTACATAACTTAACGTTTATCATTTATCTACATTCACTGCATTGATTAAATATCTGAAATATCGAATAGCCATCTACGTCTTCACACACCCTATCACACACCCACACCTATTTATCTTCAGGAAAGAAGTTGTACAATATTTTCTGAGAAAAAAATCCCTCTTAGTTTAGTTTAGAAATATTGACAATAAAGGCTGTACAGTTCAATATTCACTTCTACCAACAAAAGCATGTTGCAAACCACCACCTTTATCACACAATACCAAACTGATAAAGACCAGCAGATAAAAAGTTAAAAGGAAGAATGTGCGTGATGTGTTCAAGGACATCAAGACATTTTACAATTCTCCGACTCAGCGTTTTCTGTGATCTCTCCTTGAACTTCTTTATCCTTCCATTTGACGTCAGTTCAGAAGAACACAGAAAAGAAATAATCATTGTGAAACATAATGACATTAAACTGCACAGACAACTCAAAAGATGTTATTTACAACCAGAGCAGAATTTCATACCTTAATGTAATATGTTCTAAATATCCTTGTAAACATTCAAACCAATCATTGTATAGAATTATATATTACTATGTTGTATTTATTTATTGTATTTGGTGGTTTTTGTCACCAGCCAAGCTTAAAATACTGAACAGAGACATTTTAAAGGAGTATATCAAATACAAAACAAAATTGTTATGTTGTTTATTTTAAAGACTAAACATAATTTGGTCATTATGTCTGCAGATACATTTGACTGTTTTCCTGTTGTTCTCAATATCACATGTAGTCACAATTAAATTCAAATGTAAATAAAATTAATGCAGACCGAACAAATATAATATATATATATATATATAAATGATACCCTACAAAGACAAGATGGTGAATAGAGAGGAAGTGGTACATGGACTGCACTTATATAGTGCCTTTGTTCTAACCACTCCCTGTTCACATGGATAGATGGATGGATGGATAGATAGATAGATAGATAGATAGATAGATGTGAAAGTGAAATGTTTTTTAAATTGTCAATAAATTGTAATCAATCAATTATAATCCTAGTGACAGTATGTGGAGAGGTACTGTTGTATTCACAGACTCACAGGACTCGACATCTTTGAACACCTCGCTTTATTCAGCCCAACACACGGGTCACATAACACTGAGAGCCCCGCTCTATCTAAACCGTCTTAACACGTAAACTGCCGTAAAGCTGCCGAGTGTCATAACTCCCTCAGGCACACCGGCTGTCGTGCATACATAACATTTACCCCCCTTCAAAAACCCACAAAACAAGCAAACAAATCAATGTGTGAAACAACATCCTAACTAGGTAATCTGGGTAGACTGCCAGTTACCAACAGAGCCATGTGGATTATTTTGCCATTTAACAGGCCCCGCAGTAGATTAAAAGTCTGTAACATAGTCTTTGAGGTAGTTTGGCCGCGCCCGGACTCGAGCTGGCCTAGCCTCTGGCTCGTCGGGGGTCCCTGTGTGCCCAGTGGAGTGTCCAGCTGTAAGAGGGGGTACAGTTCTCTGGGGAATCAGGGTGCATAAGAGGAGGCGGCGTTACCTTCTGAAGCCGACTGGCATGCCAGCGCGAACCATCCGACAGGCGAAATGTTGCGGCCCCAAGTTGTTCACAGACCTGCATCGGTGTGGACCAAAAGGAGAGCAGTTTGTGGCTCCGGTGCGGTCGACGAATCCGGACCCAGTCTAACACCGTGAAACTGGGTGGCCGTGCTCTCCTCCTCCTGTCAAACCGCTGTTTCATCTGGCTCTGCTTGTCCGCAACCCTCCTCCTCTGCTGGGCCGAGTGTGCTGCTGCGGCCTCTGTAGCAACAGGTGGTGGGAGCCAGTCTCGGCCGATCATGAGACGGGCTGGAGAGCTACCTCTCGTTGAGTGTGGTGTTGCTTGATAGTGTTGCTTGATAGTGCAGCAGGGTCTGGAGCAGTGCAGCTCAGGCAGGCCATCTTGAGTGAAGGTCATATGCCACAACAAGAAAACACTGGTGCTGTGGGACATCATGAAGTTTCCGCAGATGTCTCCTTGGATGTGGTCCCAGGGAAAGGCTGGCCACTACACCGGTTGTAGAGGTGGAGTCGGCGGTGGGCCAGTCTTCCCGCTGACGAGGCAGGCTGTGCAGTCCTTTACCATGGTCTCCACATCCTGGTCAATGCCTGGCCACCATACCAGGTTCCTGCAGCGCTGCTTTTCTTTGACAATGCCTAAATGACCGTCGTGAACCATGGCCAGGATACGTGGTCGCAGGCTGCTGGGGACCACCATACGAAACTCTCTGGCTATGCAGATGTTGTTCCAGCAGGAGAGCTCCTCTCTGACCCGCCGGTAGGGTGTCAATTCTTCTGACACCGACCGAGGCCACCGACTGTCGGATGAAGGTGCAGAGCTGGGAGAGGAGAGGGTGGGCTTCGGAAGCAAGCTGTAGTTTTTGGAGCGAGACTGTGGTCTCAAGGGGTTCATGAAGCATCAATATGAGATATGGTTCTGTAGGGTCCGTGCCCATGTCTGGTGTCGGGTGGCTAGGGATGGCACGAGAGAGCAGATCTGCCACCACATTTTCCCGTCCTGGTGTGAATTGGGGAGAGAAGTTGTACTGCTGAAGTCGCTCCGACCAGCGATGGATCCTGAGTGGTTTATGGCCAGACCCTGATGAAGCTAGCAAGGTTGTAAGAGCCTGATGATCAGTCCGCAGTGTGAAATGCCGGCCGTATAAGTATGTGTGCCATCGCTCACATGCCCAGACACAAGCCAGTGCTTCTCGTTCTCCCACAGAGTACTTCTGCTCAGCTGCCCCGAGAGAACGAGAGGCGAACGCGATAGGGCGCTCTGTGTTGTGTTGAATCTGGGACAGCACAGCGCCAACTGCTGTGTTGGATGCGTCGCAGGTCAGGATTGTGGGGCTCACTAGGTCAAAATGCGCCAGCACAGGAGGGGAGATGAGTTGTTTCTTAAGATGGTAGATTGCTGCAGAGTGGGCTGGCGTCCATATTGTAACGCTGCTGGTACAGGAAGTGTAGCTAGTTGGCAATAGGTCTGTTGCTGTTGGGCCATGCACTACTATGTCGTCCAGGTAGATGCCCCGGGATAGCTGGTTAGCATCAGTTAGACAGACGACAAAATTGGGGATTTCCACACGGCACTTTTATTCTGTATAACTAAATGGACCATACAAAGCCAGGTCAGCACGGCACTTTATATCCTGATCACACATGACAGGTAAAAATAGGCTATTATCCTGCACCAACTCATCACTAGAGTTTTGGAGAGTACTCTCATGATCGACATACAAGATGACTGACATAGATAGACTTTCTCACCCACACACTTAAACATAACAGAGACACCACCTTGTGGCACTATTTGGTACTACTACTAATATATTCTGACTGTTACAATATCCAGGGCGCATCCTTCTTCGGGGCTATGGTTGAGGAGTATTGGGGCAGGAAACGTAAGAAGTAAGATGTCATCCCCAGAAAGGAGGCAAGCTGAGTTGGATTAGTGGGCTCCGGGAGGCGCTGCACAGCCTCCACGTTGGAATGGAGTGGGCTGAGGCCATCAGCAGTCAGCACTTCTCCCCCGTTGAGTGTGAGATTGTGACTGGCAAGCACGCCGAGCACCTTGGTTAGGCGCTCATCATGGACTGTTGCTGTTGGGCCATGCACTACTATGTCGTCCAGGTAGATGCCCCGGGATACCTGCAAAGATGGTGGACATTATTTTCTGGAAACAGCTGGGGGCTGAGCTGAGGCCGAAAGGCATCCGGATTTAACGAAACACCCCAGTGTGTGTGTGACAAAGGCTGTGAGGTTCCAGTTGTCTGGGTGTAGTGGAACCTGTAGGTGGCCCTGGCGGAGGTCCAATTTTGTGAACACAGAGGAGCCATGGAACTTAGCAGTCAGCTCCTCCACTGTGGGTAGTGGGTACTTGTCTGGGATCACCGCCTTATTGACTGACCTGAGATCGATGCATGGGCGCAGTCCCCCATCTTTTTTTTTTTAGTCACCACCAAATTGGAGATCCAGGGTGACGCATCTACTTACTCAATTATGCCCGCGTCCAGTAATTTCCCCAGCTCAGTGGAGACGTCATCACGCAGAGCAAGGGGCTGAATGACAGGTCGTACTGCAGGGTCAAGCAGGGGCTGGTGGTTAAAGGTGGTGAGACAGCCCAGGCCATTGAACAGGGACGGCCATCGTTGTTGCCATGACAGGCCCACAGTTTGGATTGTGCAGCCGGTGTTATCAACAAGAGAGAACCCCAGGTCACAAAACAAATCCAGGCCCATGAGGTTAGCTCCATGCTTGGACACTTGGAATGTGAATGACGTGAGTGCTCTTGTCCCATAGCGAACAGGGAAGGATATTGTCCCTGCCATGCCAGTTTTAGAGTTGCCATTGTCATAAATCCTCTGTGTTGGGCGTAATTGTCCGTTGGGAGAAAAGTCGCCGCACTGTGGACACGTTCAGCAGTGACCGTGATGCACCAGTGTCTAGCAGCAGTGGAAGGCACACTCCATCTAGCTCAACTGTGCACCACTTTGAATGGCCGGGAAGGTGAGCTCACTGAATGGATAGTCGTTGGTGCTGGAGGGCCGGTTGTTCGGGTGGAATCAGAGGGGTTAGAGCGGCAGACCTTGGCAAAATGATTTTGTTTGCCACAGCGACACCTCTGCCCTTTAGCTGGGCAGCTGGGGCTGAGTGTGGTGTGCGATGAAGAGCCACAATTTCCACACTTCCACTGCGATGATGCGTTACGACCTCCAGCAAAATTCACATTCAGGCAGCTCGTCTCCAGCTCAAATGGTGCTGGGGTGGGTCTTACGGTCTGCGTGACCAGTCCGGTTGGCGAGTGAGACTCAGGTGTTAGCTGTGACGCTAACTGTGCTGTTGATTCGAACTGTTATGTGCATACATAACAGGTACTGCTCTGACATCATTTATTTTCTGAGTCCCTGCCATAGGTTAAAAGAAATACATTAGTTTAACTGCCTCACCTTGGGGTCACAACGACATATAGTTAAATAATTATCAACACTGGAGCTTGAATCAAAAGGTGGGCATCAAGTTTTTTGGGGGGGATAAATTATTAAGAGAAAATGCTGCCCCCTAGTGAGCTCTTTCCACAAACAAAATAAATAGGTATGTAAAGTGACATAATAGAAAAGAAATACGCCGCAGTAGGATTTAACAAAGGTTGGATTACAAGTTTGTTCGACAAAAGAACTGTACAGAGTCTGTTAATAGACTTATCAGTTTACTCATTAATGTTCATGAAACATCTTGATCAGTCCAATATAACAGCGGATGGTTATTTTTTCTAGTTGCCATTTAATTCTACTGCTTTCTTTAATGAAATATCTGCCTATGCCACATTACTCTGATTGTTTTTCTCACAACAGGGTTAACACTGAAGCGATATGTTCAACATTAAAGGTGGGAGACATGTGACTTACTGTGACTGTTCACAGGGTTCATGATCATTAGGGTGGAGTGAGTATGTAAACCATGTACACAACTATTACTCATTTATATAAAGTTATGCTCTTGATTGAGGGATTTGTTCGTTTCAAATGTTTTAACCTCTTTGTTGATGAATTTCAGGTGAATTATTGTTGTTTTTACTTCACATAACTAATTTAGTACTAATATAATAAATAAATAATATGATTTTTTTCATATTACGATAAGGCTTGACTGCTACCAAAGTACTTAAAAGTATCTTACCAGCTGCGGCATTCAAGTGATGCATTATTAATTTTAAAACAATAATATTGTATAATTCATACTTAACTGGATCATTCTACGTAGCTTGAACTTTTAGTACTTATATTTGCACAAAGGTTGAGATTCTTCAGCTTTCATGATCTAAACTCGTGCATGAAAGATGCATGTTTTTGTTGTTGACTTGTTAAAGGAATATAAATCCATGCTCTACAGTGCACGTCTATGTATATTTTAAAGTTGTGCCTTGATGCTACTGTGGGCCTCGCCTCCATTATTTGTTATTCTATTTTATCCATGACTTACAAAATAGCAAATAATTCAAAAGATGTGATCAAGAAAACACAGCTTACAACACAGGGATTCTGTAGAAACATTTTTTTTTAACAAATCAATACAAATACACAGGTTACAGATAAAAAAAACATTAAATGCTGAGTGCTGACAACATAGTCCAGCTTTGAATTGCACCACACGTGGCAAGAGAAACCGTCAAAAATACACACATGCAACAGTTAACAAATATCTATCAGAGGGAATGCACAAAAACATCAAAAGAGCTGCTTGTTGAAAGTTGGTGACAGAAAACTGAATCTTTTTTTCATGTTTCTTTTAATTAAGTGCCAGAAAAGGACGAAAGGGAGAGAAAAGAACCAAGATAAATCTTTAAAAAGTTTTTCTTAATCGTTTTTTTTGTTCTTATTCGTGACAAGCTCCTGAGACCTTTGTGGAAGAAGCGAGCTGCTCAAGTGAAAAATCTCATCCATGTGTAGTTTTTACATGTGGTCTGGGAGAAGGCGGGTGTGCTCAGAGCTCTCACACAGCCTTACGGTGATACTCTGGGGGAGCAACCTCGTAGTCCGTGGCACTGAAGAGGGTGGAGGAATTCTTCACCAGGTACCTGAGGAAAATGTCAAATACATTGTTGTAGTGAAGTGGGACAGAAAGGCACATTTCTGGAGGGTGAAACGAGTGCAGCTTTTAAATCAATCCAACAACAAAAAGGAACACAAGGATTTTCAAACTGAGGCAGGATGTTAAATGTCGGCTGTCTCTTGAGAAAATTTGCATAATTATCATCCTGTCAAATGAAGGAACTCTCAGCAGGAGTTTTGTTCTGTTGGAAATTAAATTGGGTTTGTTAAGATAAACATAAAATGTGACAATAAGGGAGCCATGCAGGGACAGAATTACAACCTTTTCACAGGGCTCCAACATGAAGAAAACAAACACATGGCCAGCTGCTTTTCAATGGAAAGGAAGCTTTTAATGGAAACACAACCATGCCAAAAACTGGACATGCTGCATCAGGATGAAGGGGGGAGGAGGTGTTAAAGACAAGTCTTTGCTGCTATAAATGAAAAAGGCTCTGTAGGAAATTACATTTTTTTTGTTCAGAAATGTCATTGGATTCAATCTTGGAGTGACATGATTAGTCACAGCCTGATAAACAGAGAGTTCACACAGTGTTCAGTTTCCGCTTCAGTTATAGTATGAACAATAGCAGACAGAGAAAGCACACGCTGACATACAGAAATGTTATTGTCATGGGTTTGAGAATGTTAATAATCACATGGTATTACTGCATATGTCCCCTGTAAGTACTGTACATCATTTCTTTACTTTAATATATGACGCCAAAGCCTTCTCATCCCCCATAGCCCCAATGCCTGATCCTCACTGAGAAGAAATCAGCAGAACCCCATCTCACAAGCAATAGTTCAGTGATGTCATGTATCAGATAAAGCTAATGTGTCTACCATGATATTGAACAAGATTCTGCAACCAAGTCTGACATATTTGCGTAAATAATTTGCCTCTAACTATCTTGGGCAGCTGCTGACCTTCCCCCTTTTAGACATTATACGTTGTTTATATTGTTTCATTCTACGTTGTTGTTTTTTTTCTCCATCTGATTGTTTTTTCTTTTTTACTTTATGTTGATTATGAATAATGTTCCAGCTATATGGTTATATGTGATCGTGTTGTAGTCCTCGAAATTGGTCTTAGTCTCAAGACCGGCCTCGAGACCACTTCTTGGAGGTCTCGGTCTTGTCTCGGACTCCAAACATTTTTTTACTCGGTCTTGTCTCTGTTTCAGACTGTGCGGACTCTGGACTTTAAATCAAGACCGGTCAAGAGAAAATGGTGTGTTAAAAATGTTACGATTGGCCCTTTCTCATGTCATTACTGTGATTAGAAGGAAAACGCCCCCTTTCTAAAAAAAACTAAATACTTTAATTCATTCACGATTAGATTTTATCACCTGGTTACGGCCGTTAACTTCTCTGTGCCCCCTGCACACAAATGTCTTGGTCTTGTCTTGGTCTCGGGATGATGTGATCTCAGTTAGTGTGGCCTTGACTACAACACTTATATGTGACGCTCATGCCACTTAATCAATTGTGTGGTATCCATATTCTATATGATACAAATTACAATAGCTAAAGTAACAACAGTGTGCTTATTGAAGAGAAGAAAACCTCATGGTGTTCACCTTTTAATATTTTTTCAGTCTAGTGCTCAAGCAAGAACTGAATCAGTTCTCTAAAACTCCATCTTGACAGTGACATGCTGACAGGCTGAGTAATTTCTGAGTGTGCGGTCATTCTAACCCAAAGAAAAAGTAATTCAGGGAAAATTGATTTGTGCGGTTCATGTTTTCAGGTTTTCGAATAAGCCTGGTTGCACTGATGTGAATTTGGATGAAACATGACATTTCAGAATCAGCCGAAAATGGCGTCAAGTCTCTGAGGTTTGGTTGGAGATAAAACTTACTTTAGGAAATCTTGGAGGTAACTCAGCAGCAAAGCCAGACTCTTTTCATCCAGTGGAGTGTAGGCCAGCATGGCTCCTATACGAACTGTCAGAGGACGACATGAGTGAGAGAGACAGGAGCATATACAGTCTGAGTCAATGATGTACCAACATCAATTAGTGTGAAACAGAAATCAGAGGAATTCATTTATTGTCTTTCTGCTTTAAAAAAATATTTATAATAAAGGTGCTTGATGTTGGCAATAAAGATAAAAACCTTCTCCTCTTTTTTTTTATAGATTGTAATTTGAGTTTATGGTCTTAAGCACCAATTTGAAGTCTTCTTTATTACAGCATGATTGTTTTTCAAATTATAGCATTTAGACTAAAAAAAGACAATAAGCAGAAAACGCTTTAGGACATAATTATCTGTGATTGACAAATCTCTACCATGGCAACATCTCATTTATGACAGAAGCTAAGGCAAATCATTTTTTTAGGTCAAAAACCTGAGAAAAGCTCATAGTTTCAAAAACCAACTAGTTATGTCCCAGCAGAGCTGGGAATCTTTGGGTGTCTCAGGATTCGATTTCGATTCTTTGGGTCACGATGCTGGATTCATTGATCCATGGATTCAAAGTCTATTTTTGAATTAATACTTCAGGATCTACTCCAGTCACCGGTGAGACTGGCTGAATTTCTTGTTGCTCTATTTGTCATTCTACTGAGTTAAAGAGCTAGCCTTATAGCACTTTTATTAGCAGGGAGTAACTGATTTTTTTTGTGTGAAAATAAATAAATACATTTTTGTAAGTTATGAATCGATGTTAAAAGAGGAGAATCTTGATTTTTACATAAATTGATTTTTTCCCCAGCACTTTGTCACAGTGTCTATTTGTACAGACTATGTTCCAGACTCTGTACTGATATAATGACTTATATCATTCATAAAATCCAGTGCTAGAATAACTGTCATTTAGCAAAGATGATGCTAGTTCTATTTGATTGTGTAATTATTTGTGAGATCCTAAAATTTCACTAAAAAATATTTTTTAATACACTTGATGCTTTATTTAGTGATAAATTAAGATCAGCGTTATGATCTGATGAAGAGTAATTGGTTAGCTGCACAGTTTTTCATCCTTTTGACTGTTGATGTTTAGTTTGATTAATGTGTGATATTAAAGTCATGTATGAATGACTATGAATGATCAAATGAGATCAGCAGTTCTCTTAGTGCTCAATGATAATCTCACCTCATTAAAACTCAAAATGACTTTATCTGTCAAAAATAATTCATCCAAATTCAATATCAGAAGAAGTGGGAAAACGGAGGCCAGCCACCAATAATTCAGTATGACTGACTGTTATCCAATGAAATGACATTAATGCCTGTCTTAAGTATTACGTGTTCAAGCTTCTGCAGAGATCATTTCCCATTATCTCAACAAAGACACGGACAAGAACGAAATAAAACTCCTTGAACATTTACAACGCCCCAGCCATTGTATGAATATGAAGGTTTTCTAAGAATTATATTAAAGCATTTGAAAGAAATTGTAATAGTACAGAGAGTGACTTCTATTCCTCTTCAGTTACAATTAACTATCTCTCAGTTTATTAAGTGTTTGATGTTTCATTGTGTGTGTGTGTGTGTGTGTGAGTGTGTGTATTGTGTTAATGTGTGTGATTCAGTGTGTGTCAAGGTTCCATACCAAATAGGCGCAGCAGGTGTGGAGCCCCGTACACCTGAGACATGGGCATGTCCGGGTGTTCAGCCAAGATCTCAGCATACTGCGGCCTCTCAAACTTGTAAAGCAGCTGAGTGCCCAGCATGACGTTAAAGTACTCGCGAATCCCCGCCACAACTTCGTTCACAGCATACTCTCTTACAAGAGGGGAGAAAAGGCCACAAATTACTTTCATGGAGACTATCACATAAAAACAAATCGTCGTTTGTGCTGCATAATGTACTGTTATAAAGTTAAGGGTTGAAGGTTGGTGTGTTCAACTGCTTGAAAATATATTTGGAAATGTGAAAAACTGTAAGTAACCAGGGATGCAGTGAAAAATGTTTCCTAAAAAAAAATGCTTTTTATTTCAGCACATGAGCACACAAGTCCCACAAACATAATATAATCTGTTTTAAAGGAAGGATGTGCGACTTTTTGATCCAGTAGATGTCGCCCTTGAGCACCAGCATGAAACCAAAACAAACTTCTGTTTGGCGACACCTCCGCTATTCTGAAGCTTCTATTCGCTGCAATTT